AATAGGAAGGATAAGAAACTTAGATGATTGTCAAGAAGACTTGGACAAAATAAGTATATGGAGCATCACTGGACAAATGGAATTTAATGTGAATAAATGCCATGTTATGGAATGTGGAATTGGAGAACATAGACCCCACATAACTTATAAATTATGTGAGAAATCTTTAAAGAAATCTGCCGAAGATAGGGATCTAGGGGTGGTTCTAGATAGAAAACTGTCACCTGAGGACCACATTAAGAACATTGTGCGAGGAGTCTATGCTACACTTTATAACTTCAGAATTGCTTTTAAATACATGGATGGAGAAGTACTAAAGAAATTGTTCACGACTTTTGTTAGACCAAAGCTGGAATATGCAGCGGTCATATGGTGCCCATATCTTAAGAAGTACATCAACAAATTGGAAAAGGTACAACGACATGCCACTAAGTGGCTCCCAGAACTGAAGGACAATAGCTACGAGGAGAGGTTAGAGGCATTAAATATTCAAAAACTAGAAGATAAAAGAAAAAGAGGCAATATGATCACTACATACAAAATAGTAACAGGAATTGATAAAATTGATAGGGAATAATTCCTGAGACCCGGAACTTCAAGAACAAGAGGTCATAGATTTAAACTAACGAAACAAAGCTGCCGGAGAAATATACGAAAATTCACTTTTGTAAATAGTGTGGTAGACGGTTGGAACAAGTTAAGTAAGAAGGTGGTGGAGGCCAAAACAGTCAGTAATTTCAAAGCATTATATGACAAAGAGTGCTGGGGAAACGGGACACCACGAGCGTAACTCTCATCCTGTAACTACACTTGGGTAATCACAGGATGGCGGGGCCTAGTGTCCCCCGAGCTCCTCATCGCTCAGCGCCCCATAATTTGCTCAACTTCTCGGCTCCATCGCGGCTGAAGTATGGCACATCCAATATTTTATTTTAGTTTCCCATGATCAGAGACTACATTTTAACAATATAAGAAGATAAAATATTTTGTTGGAAATTATTTATTTTCTGCACACCACAGGGAAGTCGTATTTTAATGCAGCGCAGCACGATGGTTAAATGTCACTGTTGAGAAATTTCCATCCTTTTAACAAGGATCCTAGAAGTTTTGCTTGCTTTTCTGGGAGGAGCCCCTGTGGCTCGCTGAAGCTACGATGCTGATACAGTGCCATCAGTCAGTGGTTTTTAGACCTACCGGGGACCACGAACCTGAACTTATCCCAGAACAAGTTCAGGCCTGTGTTTGTCCTGGTTCACAAGGGCCAGTTCAGTTCAAATTTCACCAGGACCCAGGACCTGGGTTCTGGTGAAATTGGAGTCCTAAAGGGGAGGGACGCCCCTTTACGACTCCAAGGGAAAGGGAAATTGTTATTATTCTTCTGGCTCCCTTTATAGAGGACATGGCAAACCTCTATTCAGATGTAGATCAAGTCTTTCTATGGGTTACAGAAAATAATATGGTCTTTAACGAAGATAAGTTCCAGCTCATGCGCTACGGAAAAATGAAAATATAAAAACGGAAACCACGTACAAATCTCGGGCAAATCATAATATAGAACGAAAAGGCAATGTAAAGGATCTGGGTGTACTCATGTTGGAAGACCTTACCTTTAAAAAACACAATAGAGTAGCCGTCACATCTGCAAGAAAAATGACAGGTTGTATAACAAGAACCTTTCACACTAGAGATGCTATACCGATGATGATACTTTTCAAAACGCTTGTGCTCTCTAGAGTGGAGTACTGCTGCACAATGACAGCCCCTTTCAAAGCTGGAGAAATTGCTGACCTGGAGAGTGTGCAGAGATCCTTTACTGCCAGAATCCACTCAGTAAAACATCTAAATTACTGGGACTGACTAAAGAGCCTAAATCTGTACTCACTTGAGCGCAGGCGGGAGAGATACATAATAATTTACACGTACAAAATAATTGAGGGGCTGGTCCCAAACCTGCACACAGAAATAACATCACACGAGACCAAAAGACATCGCAGGATGTGCAGAATACCCCCGTTGAAAAGCGGAGGTGCAACAGGTACTCTGAGAGAGAACTATCAACATCAGAGGCCCGAGACTGTTCAACACGCTTCCGCTACACATAAGGGGCATAACTGGCAATCCCCTCAGTGTTCAAGAGAGAACTGGATAAGCACCTCCAAAGGATACCTGATCAACTGGGCTGTGACTCATACATCAGGCTGCGAGCAGCCGCGTCCAACAGCCTGGTTGATCAGTCCAGCAACCAGGAGGCCTGGTCGACGACCGTGCCGCGGGGACGCTAAGCCCCAGAAGCACCTCAAGATAACCTCACGGTATCCCTGTTAGCTGACCCAGCCTTGGTCTGAAGTGCTGTTTATTTTATATCCAAACCTGGCCATTTTCCCTCGCCTCCACCTCTTTCAAAAAATCGATCCAGTGGCATTGCTGGTTCTGCCTTCTCTGATCTATGCGTCTGGAGTTTGACTTTATCAGAAACTCTAACTTGGAGTTTATTGCCATCTCTCTGGTAATCAGGTGGCTGGTTTGTTTCTATCCCACATGGTTTTCCTCTTGGTGACCCTATATATTGTCCTAGCATGCTTTTTGCCATTTCCTCTCCATTTGTCTTCGAAGTCTGTTTCAGTTGTTCTGTCTTTTCTTTTTCTAGTTTGGCATCTTGTACAGAATACTGTTGCCTCATCTTGTGTGGCACTGGCAGAGCTGCTTCAGGTTGTGTTCAGGGGCAATACTTCCTCGAACCTATTTTGGAAATTTTTTTCTGGCCTGTTTGGTCTTTGGACTATTCGGATTATTTTATTTTATGGTGTGGTTCGATTTACCCAGGATTTCACGATTGTTATTTGTGTTTGACAAATGTCAAGAATGATCTTTTGGCGTAACCTCAAGGTAACCTTCCACCAAACCATGGGAACTGCAAAAGGTATGTGGCATGGTACTCACAAGATTGTCCATCTCATGAGGAGCTTAACATGTTATACAGCAGACATAAGAGACCAAACTTTTATTCTGGTTGCCATTTTACAACCAAAATAAAGATGGTAACACTTTAATGTTTGTCTGTGAGCTTTAACCCTTGAACTGTGTAACACATCAATATCTGTGGTGAGTAACTGTCGCGGGTGTGAGAGCCTCGGTACTGAGTGAGCAACCAGGGCTGGCACATGCAGTATGAGCTAACAGCATTGCTGTTCAGCTTGTGACCACAGCATTGCCTAAAAACTGTAAAAATATATATGTAACTGGTATTATTTAGTAATGATAGTATTACAGAAAACTTTGATAAAAATGACCAAGATTGTTGTGATAATTAGCGCTGTGCATAGTATGGTGGGAGGAGTAATGCTGTGGGAGGGAGGTAGCTTCATCTGCTGACTGTGTGTGGCCACCTGTTATTGTCTAGAATCACCATATCAGCTTAGTGGTTCGCTATGGTGAACAGAAGGGGGGCCTCGTAGCCTGGTGGATAGCGCGCAGGACTCGTAATCCTGTGGCGCGGGTTCGATTCCCACACGAGGCAGAAACAAATGGGCAACGTTTCTTTCACCTTGAATGCCCCTGTTACCTAGCAGTAAATAGGTACCTGGGAGTTAGTCAGCTGTCACAGGCTGCTTCCTGGAGGTGGAGGCCTGGTCGAGGACTGGGCCGCGGGGACACTTAAAGCCCCGAAAACATCTCAAGATAACCTCAAGAAATGTAGATACTTGCATATATGTGAGTATATAGTGTAAAAACAGCACAAACAATATGGTGGTAGAAGGATTCTTAGTGAGGGAGGGAGGGAGGGATGCAGCATTAGATGACTGTGTGGCATCCTCTGTTGCTGTCTGAACTCACCATACCAGCTTAGTTCTACAGTTATGATGAACAACATGTGTAGATACTTGTATATAATCTGTGTATATAGTGTAATAACAGCAAAACTATTTGTGTGTTTTATGAACATAATAATTGAATCACTAATATGAACACCATAATTTTGAGTATAGTGGTGATTCACACATTTGATTATATAACTATATCACACTACACACTATTGAATAATAATAGTGATATCTGCAAAAAAGGAAAAAGGAAGAAAAAATCACATTGAAATAATTAGGTAATAATATCTTTGTGGCAACTCCCGCCTGACAGCCCTGGCAGAGCTGACTGCCTCCAGCAATTGCTGTCAATTCCTCAATTTTGCCAGACTTCCTCACCCTATTGTGGCTAAAATATGTCACCTACAATTCCCCCCCCCCCCCCCCTTACCTCCCTGGTTAGGGAACACAAATGAACACTTTTATAAGAGGAAAAATGTGTTAGTTTTTTTTTATTTCTTGCACCTGGGTGTGTTGCAGGTAGCTATTTATTACCTCAGTAGGAGCCAGGTAATACTGAGCAATACCTGGCTGCTCGATAATCACTCGAGCAGCCTAGGCATTAAAGGTCACTTCACCACACATACACACAACAAAGTGTCATAATGGTTTAAACACTTCCTTTGGCATAATAACTTGGTTTTGATCACTTCCAAAAAAGCAATGCATTCAGTGTTTACACTGGAGGACAACACAACACTGGCAAAACACTGGATTGAACAACATTGATGACGTGGGTCATCAGTGTGGCTCGGTAATCACTGTGGGTGGCCACTTACACTACTTAGCTATGCATAATGACTCTTTACTGTTGCTCCAATATTCCTGTGTGTGTAAAATACACACAGCCATTAATAAAAGGAAAGCTCTAGATTGTATACTATTATTGATAAAACACTTATAAATTCAGTACTATAACTGAAGAATTACAAAAAAAAATAGTATAAAAGAAGCGTGATAGAAAACTTGTGACAGCAGATTTGAATTAAATGTAAAATATTACAAGTCACTATAAATGGTGTGACACAAGAACTGTTACCCAGTGTTACCAACACAGCTTCTCTTATTCTTCTCTCTGTCATTTTTCTGTTTTGCTCTTCTCATCCCACGGACCTTAAAAACTCCATTTTATCTTTTCAGAAATACAAGTCATTAGCTGCAGGAACTACTACGCAGGCAGCACCAACACCCGAGGCCGACGACAAGAAGCGCAGAAGAGAGGAAGCCATTGAGGACTCTCCTTCAGAGAAAAAGGCCAAGGGATCAGGCCTTAGCAAATTGTCTGCTTTTGTCTTTAATAAAGATTCATAACCATAGTTGCATTAGATATGTTTTATATATTATGTATAGACAATGATACTGTATACATAAATTATATAACATTGTATTTTATGATCATTGTGCATGTCATATTTTTATAAACTAAGAACTGTAAATATGTTTTAATTTTTCAAAGTGTTTAACAAAGTTAACTACTGCCATCGTGCCTTAGAGATGGGCTGTGTATCTTTGCAATGTACAGCAATTTGGCTTTAACCCTCCGACTGTGCATCTAAATTTAGATAAATTTCCTCATGTGGATAACAAAAATTAAAATATTTTTCTTTATGTATCATTAAACATTGGTTTCCCAAGTTGAGAAAATTTATAAAAAATCTCATTTAGTTTGTCTATAATGAGGTTAACAAATGTCATATTCTTAGGGATAATTTTCATTTGAACTGCAGTATTTGTAATAGATTTCTCATCAGAAATATCTTTCAAGTCCATAAAAAATCTTGAAATTGTGCATGATATGAATGGTAAGGATAGGCATCAGTTGGTGGAGAGTGATGTACACAGTCTTGGTACCCGTCTGTGTTTTACTACGACCCAGGCAGGAAACTAGGCTTTTGGGAACTTGTGAGACTTCTTTTGCAGTATACATAACTACATGTATGCATACATTCCATGGGGCTACTGAAGGTCTAATAATGGTTATATAACGATTGCAATATCCACTGCTACCATTGTAACATTCCTGATGTCACCAGAGTAACGTTGATAACAATCAAGTACTGCTCACACACACAGATCACACTAACGTGATGCATCAAATGAACGAATCCACAAGGGCCAAGGATCCAGTAAGTTCAGTAGAACTTCGATTTCAACCCTCTTAATCCTGTCGTAGCTCAGTCGATTAGGGCAGTGTCTGGGATGCTCCCAGACGCAGGTTCGAATCCTCGTCACGGCCCTTGTGGATTTGTTCATCAAGTACTGCTGTTATTGGAAGACTGGCTGTAATGGTTGCTATTAATTTGTAATGCTTTAAGCTGTAATAACTTGCATTGATATAACCCCAAAGAACTGGAAGAATCTGCCCTCACAGCAGAAAATGTTCACGTCAGTTATCAGGAGGAGGGGGGGAAGAAATGACCAAGTTGTTAAAGATATCTCTAACAATTACTGAATTGCAGGGTAATAGGGTTACTGGTTTAAAAACAAACAAATGCCACCACCACTTCTAGAACTTTAATAATTAGGCTCATTGATTCAGGAGGAGACTAACCAACTAGCACCAATGCTTATGGAACTTTGATACTGGGTGACTGGAATTCCTTCTATTTTAGTTTTTCATGAATTACAGAGGATATATATGTACTCAAAAAATGCTCATAGGATCACAGGTAATGTCCAAAACAGTTCAAGGTCTAAGTCTGCAATAATTAAGGGAAATATCCAAAACTCTGGAAACAGTTTAACAGTAACTTTATTTAATAATGCAAATTAACCCTAAGCTAGTGTAACATCCTATTCCTCAAGAAGGCATGGTATGTGGAATATAAATTGTTCAGGGAAAACTCAAGATATTTACCTTGTCCACTGCTTTCACAGGTGATGTGGCCTGGTGGCCAATAACCCCACCCCCTCTAGCACTCAAAGTTCACACTAAAAATCTTTCTCTGCATCCTTCAAGGTGACGTTTCAGCTTCACCCCTAAGTCTATTCTTACCCTAGAAACTGCACCCCTCCTAGGTCTACTCCAAATCAATTTGAACCAGGCCTAGGTTCTGGCACCCTCAACCAATGACAAATATGCCTGGCCCTTGCCCAATGAACAAACCTTAAAACTCCAGAAGGCAGAGTTTTCCCACAAAACTGGATACTACTGACAGCTTACAAAGGGTAGATGTAATGGGCCTCTCTTTGTAATTCTAAATGAGAGTACACATTATACCCTCGAATCATCCAGAGGAAAACAGTTAAAAGTACAGTGGAACCTCTGTTTTCGAATGCCCGTTTTCATATTTTTCGGGTCTCGAACTCGATTTCTTTGAAAAATTTGACTCTGTACTCATAGTTTGTCTCGGTGCTCAAGTTTGTTGATACATGTAGGGGCCGACCGAGCACATGGCGTGCTTCGGTTCACCAGCATCTCCCACCTAGTGATGATCACGCTTGAATTCTTTGTAAAGAATTTCATTGTTTTTGTGCTCTTCATTTTTTATTTCTGAACATAGAAGTTCTTATAATATATCACGCGGTTACCTTATGATTTCAGGGCTTAGCGACCCCGGGGCTCAGTCGTCAACCAGACCTCCTCATTGCTAGACTGGTCGTATGAATCACAGCCTTGTTGATCAGGTTGGATTCCAAGAAAGGAAAAACGAGATTATTGTGAGACAATGCGATGTCTCGCTACAGACAAGTGTTAAAATGTAGGGAAAAACAAGCGTCTATAGACACTTGTCTTAGTAAGACAAGCAAGCAGTGAGCCACAACCAGGTCTTAGTGGTATGCCTGCAAAATGGGAGAGCGAGTACCCCAGAAATATCATCACTGCCTGATGTTATAGTGGAAGGGAACTAACTCCCCTTCCAAACACTAACACCTCTCCTCCTCCTCTCCCTCCTTACCATCTAACATAAAAGTAAGGTACCTATGAGTAGTTTTCTGTATTAAATGTATTTTTTATTTAATATTTTTGAGGGTGTGGAACGGAATAATTCAATTTACGTTCGGTTTTCGAACCGTCTCTGGGAACAGATTAAATTTGAAAACGGAGGTACCACTGTATATGGTTCCTCTTCCCAACATCTGGGATGACTGGGGAAAATCATCCCCTAGAGTCATAGAAGTCATCTCTCATTACACTCAAGACTGACAATGATAAGTTCAAGTCTCAGTCGACTTGAGAATGGTCCAGGACGGACCGAAACGTCGTCGTCCCTTCACTTTGTAGTGTGTGGTCTGGTCAACATACATCAGCCATGTTGTTGTGACTCATCGCCTGCATAAGTTCGAACCTTCATCACGGCCCTTTGGGATTTGTTCATCATCTCTCCTTTATTATCCTGTCATCTTTCAGTCTCTTCTCCCATTCCTCCGGGGGAAAAAAAAGAGGAATGGAAGAAGGGACGGAATGGAGGCAGGATAATAGAGAGACCTGGCCGTTTCAGATAGTGTTATTTTCTGAGTGAACCTAACGTGATATATATCAAAGAGAAAATTACTGGGGCTGAGGCAATGCAAACCCACAACCATGGCATTGCCAGCCACATATTCTACCACTGTACCATCGCTGACTTAAAAAAAAAAGTCATACAACCTGATTTCTACCGAAATCACAGGAAGTGTGGAGGCTCCACCTGAAGCCAGTCCGTCTTACGTAAGACTCCCAAGCACTCTGGAGGAGGAGAATGTAGTTATACACCACACCTCCCAACATAAAATCACACTAATGTGCTGTATGTCGATAAAATCCCATGGAGCTGTAAGTGGTTGGAGGTCTTGCATAAAACTTGGACTGGCTTCAAGAGAGGCCTCCAGACTTCCTGTGATTTCAGTAGAAATCTAATTGGAACAAGCAACAGTGGTAGAGTATGCGGTTGGTAATATTTTGGTGCAAGTTCGCATCGCCTCACAGCCCCATCAGATTTTCCTAATAAATAGTTTGTTAGGCATATGTGGAAAATAACACTAAAGTTTATGAATCATTTGGCTGTTAAGCAATATTGTAGTACCAATTTAGTTATAATTTTTTGTTTTTGCAATGTTACTCTTGAATACGAGCAAATGCTTTCTTTTGATAATGTGGAAAAAAACAGTAAACACACACACAACAACAAATAAACTAGCACCTAAAAAATTTCAATTATTAAAAGATAAACTGCACAGAAAAGGTATATTGTGCAGGGAAAATATTAAGCCACTTTGGTTCATTACATGGTTGGTAGGGTTGGAGGAGCAGTATTGGTGATAAGTGCACTAAGCATACCCTAATGCAGCCAGCCCCCCTCCCCTCCCTTTCCAGCCCGTTGTCATTGTAAGGGGGGGCTTGGTAGATGGCTGCCCGGGTGTGATGCTCCGCGGGACGGTCCTCTGTCCTTTTGAAACCTTATGCTCCTGCTGCCATCTTCACTAATTCTGCTGGTCACTTTTCTCTCTTCCTTATGTTTCATTTTTCCTCCCCCCTTCTTCTCCTTTCTCATTGTCTTTCCTGCCGACCTTTTGCCAGTCTTGATTATTCTGTAGGACATTGTTTTGATGCCCATGTTTTTGGGGTGGCACGCACTCACCCATAGATCTGTGGCACCCGACGTTGTGAGTGAGGGGATGCTTTTATTTGGCAGTCGTCCTATCGTTGCTGAACCCTATCTCGACAAACTGACAATTCTTAAGGTGGCGATTGTGGGGTGTATACTCACGATGCACCCCTTGGGGACTCCAGCCTGTCTCTTGTTGGGTGTCCTATCCTCTAATTGCGGCTCCATGGTGGGTATGGGGGCTCATTCGTGAATGAAATTATTACCTACTTGTTTGTGTCGCTGAATGATCCTCTTATAACTTACCAAGCTCGTGGGATGGGCGACCAAGCCCCTGAGTCGGACTGGGCTGAAAGACCGGGTTCTGTAGCCCTCACTACATTGTGCCCAGACCAAGCTACTCCTTTGACCCTCTGCTCCCCTCCCTCCCTCTGGTAGGGTTGAGCCCCAAGCCCCCTGTGGTGACCATCTCATCACCTGGAGCGGCTACTAATCCATTGTGACAACTGCATCTTTTACCACCCTCTCACTGGGGGTGTTTGGTGCCAACTCTACCACCGATGCCCTGGCATGTTCCCTACCAGTGCTAATACGTTCAACACCTTGTTTGGTCCTGCTACAGGAACTAAATACTTTAATCTCAACCATCTGGACTCTACATGTCTTGACAATTTCTTCCTTCATAAACATCTTGTTGATTCGGTGGATGCTTCTGTTACTTTTAACCCCACCCGTTTTGGTACATGTGTTGTTGCTGCTGCTGCTGCTGCTCAGGATGCAGCTGCCCGCTTAACCACATTGTCCAGTATTGAGGAGATCCCCCTGTCCGGGTCTTCAAAAATGCCTGACTAAATGACAGTATTAGCACTGTTGTCCTCCTGCACCGTGTTGCGACTGGTGTTAGGGACCTGAAAGACTACCACGAGGATATTAAACATATTCTTGAAGCCCAAGGCCATTCTTTCTTCCAGGACAGAATGGCTTTCACCTACGTTCACTCTACCCCCTCGTGGTCGTCGCCGTCGCCGTCGGCCTCTTTGCATTGTGAAGATATATTTTTTGTGATAT